AGCGTGCAATGGGAGAAGGTGCCCAGTAAGAGTGTGGTGGTACACACCTTCAATCCTACTACTCAGGAGGCAGAGGCAGATGGATCTCTATGATTTTGAGGCCAGCCTGGTTCACATAGTGAGTACAAAAAAATAAATAATAAATTCCTTGGTGTGTAGTTTCCTGTCTGGAGAAACCTGGATGTGGAAGCCATATTTCTGGTCTGCTTTTGCTTAGTCATTGTCTGTGTTAGATACAGTGCATGGCTTTTCCTGACCTGTGCCCAGGATCATCCTTCCTTGGACTCCTCAGATAGTGCTCATATCCATAATGCTCTGTAAGGAAATGCTTTATGTTCTTAGCTTCATCCTCCTATCCAGCCCTGGCCTTGTAGGTAGAGGATCCTAGCAAGGTAGACCCCTGTCTTTTTTCTCTTTGTAAGGGACTTGGGGGAAAGCCCTTGGTACATGCCCCCTGCCCCCCATACACATGTACACACTCTCTATGTAGCAGAGAGTCTTAAAAGTTTGTTTGTTGAGATAGGATCTCACTATATAGCCCTGTCTGGCCTAGAACTCACTATATAGACCAGGCTGGCCTCAAACTCAGAGATCTGCCTGTCTCTGACTCCTGAGTGCTGAGATTAAAGGTGTACACAACACCTTGAATCAAGTTTAAGCCATGGAGATGGTACCCTTCCTTAGTTCCCATTGCTGATGGAAGATGCTTAACTGCTTTGATTCTTCTTCATGGGATTTGGAAAGTAAGATGTGTTTAAGTTACCATTTTACCTGGTATTTTTCTCTTGTTCTGTATGCTAGTACTGAAATTAGAAAGTGAATTTCAGAAGATACCATTTGATGCCTGAGATCAAATACTTCATAATTTTTGTGTTACAAGTAAGAGCAACAAACTTCTTTTAGATTTGTTTAAAAAAATAATAATTTTGAGGAAAATGACATCCCAGATAAGGGCAAAGAATAACCAAAGGCACTGAGTCAGGACATAAAAAGGAACAAAACTTCAGTGGCTGAGCTGAAACCTGAAAGCTTAGATGGACAGAGGGGAATAATAGAAGCCCACAGTGGCGCTGTGAGAAGCCTGGAGCCAGGCTTTCTTCTACTGTTCCAGCTTGGCAGGTGTAAGCTTGTGGTTGACGGGACCAGTCCTCTTTACAAACAGTCTGCTAATTGGGAAAGCATATCAGCCTTGTGATGTGATAGTTGCCAAGTAGAGTTAACATTTAAATACTTAAAAAATCATAATCCCCAAGAGCTCACCTGTACTTGGACCAAAATAGACAATGCCACCAAGTGGTACAGAAAATCAACATCATTGAAAAGCTCTGTACCACAGCCATACAAGGTAAGCAGTGGGTTAGAGAGGCCAGGGGGAGATTTGAAGGGAAAGTCATCACAGATGTATGTATACATATGTTAAATTATGACATAAGACACATAAGGTGGACCTGCAGCCTATCAGTGGACCTGATGCATCTGCAGTGGTTGATGGGAAATGTTGCCTTTTGACAAAGACATAACCCTTTTGCATTCATGCACCAGATTATGGTTTTCTGGCTGCTGGTTTTCTGTTCTTAGGTTATGGACTGCTAACTCCTACATGCAGAGTAATGAACTAAAGAGTACTGTAATGAGTGTTGGTAGCCTTTGTTCTTAGGTATATTTAAAATAAAATGTGTAAACCTCTCCCAGAGCATTCACATACTACAGAGAATTTGACAAAAGCATACTCCTCCACAAGCTCAGTGGATAGCCCGGATTCACCACTAAGGTACCATGTAGCTTTTGGCAAGGTTTCCCTAAAAAAATAATAATAGAAGGGATTTCTGTAGAAAATTAAGCTTTCAGATACTCCTTCCTCAGCCTCCCCAGGGCTGGGATTTAGATAATGGTTTTTGTGACACATTACACTTCCTGGCATATGCAGTAGAGATCTAGCGCGCATTTGTTTCACTGAAGTTGCTACTACAGTGTGGTAGCAGACATGTTTTGCTTCTGTTTTAGATGGGATTCCTAACCAGAAGCTGGCCATTTCTTGCAGGATATGGCTATGGAAAAGAGCAAACCACACACTGCTATCAACTAATGTGTTGGACTTCCTGAACATTGGAGCATTTGTGTTCAGGTTTAAAACCAACAGAAGCTGAGCTTTTGGGTGACTGGGGTTTTCAAGGCATATTTGACTTCTGATACATATGTGATACAACCTAGAGGCTAGAGTTGGCTTACAAGTTGGCTTATAATCTTACACTTTCCCCTTTATTTACAGAATTTGCTAAGATATTCCTGGCTGTATGATTAAATATTTCTTAATATTATTTATAAGATACAGAATTCATATTCCTCTTGGGAACACAATAAATGTAATCATTTATTTATTGCTCAGGTCATAACAACTCTTAGACAATCTAGTACAAGGAATTTCAGGCTTATTCACAATGTATGGGTCAAGTATTCTCTATTTGAGTGTTTTACATTACAGGATTTTTTTCTTTGTTTTTTTTTTCTTTTAGATATTTACATATGTATAATTAGATATCTGGAGGATTGTGACCCATTCCTTTTCCTCAAATTTACTAATGTTTCATATACACTTTACATAGCCTGAAGGTGACTTTGTATTATGCCTTTAATGTACCCACAATCTGACATATGGGGTCAAGTACGGAATTTCCTAGTAGTACCATATTGACATTCAAAAGACTACAGAATTTTTGTAAAGAATATATATATATATATATTTATATATACATATATATGAACTTTTCTCTACATGTATGTATATATACCACATGCCTTCCTGGTGCCCATGGAAATCAGAAGAGGGCATTTGATCTCCTGGAACTAGAGTTACAGACAGTTGTGAGCTGCTGTGTGGGTGCTGGGAATCAAACCTGGGTCTTCCAAAAGAGCAGTCAGAGCTGAGCCCTCTCTCTAGTCCCCAATTTCAGATGTCTGATCATTTCACATTTCAAATTTTCAGATGATAATGTTCAGACTTATTCTTACTATTAAAGCCAAGACAGCTGATTGGTCAGTGAGTATCATTTTTGGATATGTGAAAACAGGCATCCTTTACATTAATTTGTATTGCTATGTCCTTATGAGGCCTTAATGAATCTTTCCACTTACCCATTTGATGTTTCAAATCACTGGGAAACTTAGACACCTAAAAAGAATAACTTGCAGTGTGTGGGATCCTCCATTTTATTCCTATTAAATTAACAAGGAATGACATTTAAGTAAAATTTTTAAAATGACCTGCCTTGGTTGCTCCTTGGCAATAAGCCAGGTAAATGGCATGGATGGTGACCCACTGTTTGATGTGCTTGAGAGTCGCTAAGGTGGGAATAAGATTTTTTTTTCTATCCAGACCTGATCTCTTAACCTGGTTTCATTTTCTTTCTGCATATCCACCTGCTGATTTTCCTTTGTTCTTTAATTCTTTTATTTATTTCCTTTTTTGAGGTGGACTCTTCCCATTTTGCCCAGTGTGGCCTCAAATTCCTGGGCTCAAGTGACCTTCCCTTGGCCTCCTAAGTATCTGGGGACACAGGTCACGTGATCACACTGCCTCACCATCTGATTTTATACTGTGTAACACAAGGTGCGAAACAAAACAACCACCTCTTTGCATCAAGTCACTAGAAATTACTTTTTAAAAAAAAATCAGTCCTTTACCATTTCTGAAATGCCTGCTAGTTTCTTCCAAGGAAGTTTTCAGTTTACTGATTTTTTTTCCCCGCTCAAAAAGAATCGCAATGCAGTGAAGAGCATAGGGCAGAGTAGTTGATGTGCTTTAATTGCACCTCACTTAAATTTAGCCTATTTGTGTTGATCATAGAGCAGTAGAAGAAAGCTAAGAGAATTAAGGACAAGTAAATTCAACCGTCAGAGCTTATGCATAGCTAGATTAGTTTCAAAAAATTGGGAAATATTTTAAACCTTCACTGACCTTATTAAAATATATTTCCAGAAATATTCTGTTTTAAGCCTTTCTCATGAATTAGTCATCTTGCATAACAGCTGTGGCAATATGATATAATAAAAAGTGCAGTGATTTAGCAACAGGGAGGTTGGGAATTCTCATCTTGGCTCATTCACAAGGAGATTAAATGACATCCTAAAATCCTCTAGATAAGAAAGCCACACATGAGAGCTGAATCATATGATCTGTCTTTAATGGTCTACCCTATGAGTCTCTGCTGGTGTTTAGAAACCACACAACATACTAGAAAATTTGCATGAGAGTGGAAACTTCACACAGAATTTTCAGTCTTACTCTCAGAGGGCAAGTATCGTACGAAGAAGGTGTGTGTAATGGATTGCACTTTAGTTGGCTTAGGCAGAAAAGTGTTAAGTAACATGGGGAATTCCTGAGAAAACTGAATCAACTAGATTGTAGACTGAGCTTCCAGAACAGCCTTCTGAAGTTACAATACAACCAGGCTACCAGAAGAGCTGTGGCCTTCACCGTGATGGGAACCCTAAACCATGGGTTGCCTGCCTATTTAGAAAGCTGTCACTGTAGCTCCTAACCCTAGGAGCACCTTGTCTCTGTTAAGATCTGTGTCAACATAGTAAATGCCTCATGTCCTGGCTCTGGCCCAAGTCTCTGATGGGGAGTCTAAGTCATAGGAAACCTTAGCTAAAAAGGACTCTTGGGATTCACCTATCCAACCTCTGAGTGTGCCACATGAGGTACTGTGTACACTGCTGACAGTTGTTTATGATAAGTAACACTTACATGTTTCTTCACATTTGCAGAGATAGGCATGTATTTTTCACTTAGAGATACCATTCCATTTATAAATATATTATTTCTGACTGTTAACTAAGAAAGTGTAAAAGATAACTTAAAATTCAGAAAGCTAGTTTTAAAGTTGGGATTCCCCTTCCAGCTTCATGCATTTTGTCCACATTGGTTTTGTTTCCATCTGTCTTTCCCCTTGTGAGGGCACCCTCCACCTTTTCAATTTGGTGTGCTCTTTGCCATACAGACCTGTGAATGAAGGGACAGAGCCCTCGGAGGTTGATGCTGCTGGCCGGTGGCGTGGAGTCTACATCAACAGAACATCTCCAGCTCCTTCAGACTCTGCGACCACCGTGAAGTCACTGATCAAGTCATTTGACTTAGGACACTCAGGTATTTTACAAAACCATGCATTCAAACCCTGGCCTACATAGCAAGCCTGTTTCTGCCACATTGGCCCCAAGCTGATAGAACCAAGGGCTCACTCTAGCTAATGCCACTCTGCAGGGAGCCAGGATGAGGCTGTGAGGCCATGGGTAATGCTGAGGCAGCCTCATCCCTACTTCCACTTCCTGTCGTGCCTCTTCATTCCTTTCCTACCTCACAGAGTCGTCACTTTCAGGGCCACCTGCCTGTCTTCTGAGAACTGCCAAGGATAGTCAGCAGCATTGTTGCCCAGGAAATGAGCATCACCTGTGTGCATTTGGCCCCGTTGTTAGGAGTCTCAATCATCCTCACTTGCAATATGCTGTTAGACGTCTTTCTACTTAGTCTTACATGTGAGCTTTCCTGCTGATTTGTCTGTTGTTTCTGATCCTGGGTTTGTTGCCAGCTTTTCCTGCTGTAGTCTGACTCACAATTTCCCTTTGGTTGTGCATCTTACACACAGAAGGCAATTATACATTCATACCTTAAGCATATGCACAAATATAGTATGTTGAAGAAACATTGTGCTTCTGTTCATAATAGAGATAACTTGCTTCTTTTGACTGCCACAAATGTATTAGAAAACTGGATCAGTGGCTAATTCTAAAATGATCTGGTTGTCTCTGCTAAAATAGTTTCTAAATTGTTTAGATTAAGATTAGACAACATATTGAGAGGCAGGAAAACCCAGTGAGTCAGTCTGTAGAGAGAGCATGAGTCATCAGTAATGATTTGTGTATTAACGTTCCTGTTGCTTACCCCCAAGAGAAATCTCATTGCATATTCCTTTTCCTCTTCCCCCATATCAACATCTGAGACCAGTTCTCGCTCTGCTAACTCTCCCCCTTTTATTTCCCCAATCCAGCTCTAGTGTAGAGGAGAAAAAGATAATAATAGAGTAAATGTTATACCTAGTATTGTGAGTAGGGGGCTTATTGCTTTGTTTTGTTTTGTTTTGCTTTGATACAAGGTCTCTCTACATAGCCCTGGTTGTCCTGGAGTTCACTATGTAGACCAGGCTGACCTCTGCCTCCCTCCCAAGTCCCAAGTCCTGAGTGCTGGGACTAATGTGTACACCACCACACATAGATCATCATGAGATTTTTAAGTCACCAAAAAGGGGTAACATCAAAAAACATTATTTGTAGTTTTGAACTAGATTTAAGTATTTATGTTCCACTCTCTCCTTAGCAGGTGGAGCTGGACAGAGTATTTCTGTCCACAAGACTCCCAGAAGCCCCCTGAGTGGAATCCCAGTGAGGACTGCTCCAGCAGCTGCTGTCTCTCCAATGCAGGTATAGAAGAACCCAGATGCAGGCAGCTCTTCATGTAACCTTCCAGGTGTTCCTAGCACTTATAAGTGTGTGCCTGTGGAGCAAGAGGATTTATAAATTGGAACATACATCCCTCCAATACTCATTCCACTTTAGTATTGAGTATAAGACCTGTGACTACAGAGATATTTGGTATTTTGCTCACTACTAGGTCTCCTGGCTAGAACAGTGGGTGACAGTCATCACTTCACATCACAGTAGAGCTCAATGAAGTTCTGTTGATCCGGTGAAGGAATATATCAAAGGAACTTCAGATGTTAATCTCCGTTGACGTAGCCAATTTTTTCTTAAAGCCCACATCTACATCATACACAGTTACTTAGTCACACTTGATGGCTGTTTTGGTCATTGTAAATTTAACTTAGTACAAAAACAATACAGTGAAGGCCCTTGTGCAAACTTTTGACCTCTTGAGGCACTATTTCTGTATGAGTGCATATCAAGATTCATTTCAAAATGTTAGAAATTGCTCTAGTTAGCAGAAAGGAATTTAGTTCAGAGACTTTGGTACTTCAAGACTAGAAGAGATAACTAAAGCCTTGGTGAGCTCGTGGGAAAGGCTTTCTAACATCTCAAGTTGACCCTTAAACGTGCTTCTGTTTTTGCTTGATTCAGAACACCCTTCACTAAGTACTTCTTTAGGACCATGGCCTCCGTCAAGACCTAAGATCAGCTTCAGGGCTATCTACTTCCACATGTGCATCCAAGACAGCAAAACACATGCCTCGTAATACCATAGCTGTGGGTTCAGACCCCAGAACTCCTCTGCATTGGGAAAGCAAATGCATCCACAGCCAGCAAAAGCAGGAGCAGGCAGCTGTACCCTCCTGGCACCTTGCAGAGTTTTGAGAGTGGGCCTGTCTGACAGAAGCTGAGTGACGTGGTGAACAAGCTTTAAGAAGTTTAGAAAGCATACCCTTTAACTTTCCAGTCTCTGCTAACTGTGAGCAATGAGGGAGCTAGTCCTTAGAACTCTGGAAACCAATCCCTAGAAGTGGGAAGAGTACCACTAAAACCTGGAAGTAGATTGGCTCTGTCCTCGCACATTGAAACACTTGATATATGAGTTCCTTCTACATACACTTTGTTCACACAGAAAGTGCTGTTTCCCGAGAATTTTGACATCCCCTACACATCGAGAATTTTAGTGAGATGACGCTTGGTTTCACTTTTGTGGCTTGTGCACTTCTTCATACATGACTATGTATGTACTTACATTCGTGCTGACCACTTTTCTATGTGGTTTCAGCTTTTTCATGTTTATGAGACACTTTGATACATTCTCTTCAACCTTTATTTTTATACAGAATGCTTCTATTGGGGACTGGGAGATGGCTCAGTGGTTAAGTGAACTTACTACTCTTACGAAGAACCAGGTTTAGTTTCCAGCACTCATATGGAGCCTCACAGCTGTCTGTAACTCTGGCTCCAAGAGTCTAATGAATCTGGCCCCTTCACTGGCACCTATACTCATGCATACACCTACACACACAGCAAGCCACCTGGCTTTTTTTAGAAGTGACTGTTTTATCTTGTAACATCATAATTTCCTTTTACTGAAAAGGTGGTTTTGTTTGTTTTTCCTGAAATGTTTTACTTAAGAAAATACTGTTCTGTGTTTTCTTTCATGGCTTTAAGATTTTTATATCATTTAAATATCTTTCTATTAGCTTATTAAAATATCCTTCCTTAGTATCAAAGAAGCCTTTTATTTTGTTAAAAGGTTTTTTTGGGGGGGAGGGGTCTCACTATGTAGCCCTGGCTGGCCTAGAGCTTCCTATGTAAACCAGGCTGGCCTTGAATTCACGGAGATCTGCCCACTCTGCCTCTTAGGTACTGAGATCAAAAGCGTGCACCACCATGCTGGCTTATTTGTTGAGTTTAAAAACCCACAGAAATATGAGTTTGTGTCTGGGTGCTCTTCCCCCACTCTCACCACCTCCTGGAAGCAGAAGTAAATCTTTTGAGGGAGGTAATCTCATAAGGGAATCTTATCTTACAGCCATTCATTTTCTTTTTTTTTTTTTTTTTGTTTGTTTTTTTGTTTTGTTTTTTGAGACAAGGTTTCTCTTTGTAGCCCTGGATATCCTGGAGCTCTGCTTTGTAGACCAGGCTGGCCTTGAGCTCAGAGATGTGCCTTCTGCCTCCCAAGTGCTGCTGTTTAAAGGCATGTGCTCCCACCACCTGGCACAGCTATTCATTTCCATATAGAGTCCTCTAGTCAGTTTATAGAATCCCAGGCACATAGGCTAAATGACACCGAAAGACTATATAAAACTCACAACAAACAATAAACAACAGAAGCAGGCATAGAAGGTCCGTATATTGATGGTATTAGACACAGACTTTTAAAGAAGAGATGAATGCAGTCAAGAAAATACATACCAGCACAAACAACAACTATAAAAAAGAACCGATTAAAAATTACATGACTTAGGCTGAGTGTGGTGGCGCACGCCTTTATACCAGCACTCAGGAGGCAGAGGCAGACAGATCACTGAGTTTGAGGCCAGCCTGGTCTACAGACTAAGTTTCAGGACAGCCAAGGCTATACAGAGAATCCCTATTTAAAAAACAAACAAACACATGACTTAACTAAAGACTCAAGTGTAAAAATTAAGTTATAAATTAAACATTTACCAGGGACTTTCGAGGGACTGACTACGAGATGGCAGAAATATTTCAGCTGAAGTGCAGATAATAAGGGAAGAATGAAAAGATCTGTGGAGTTCCTGGGATTCGATCTGGCAGGAGAGAGATGTGAAGAGAGAAAGCCAAGAGTTTCCAGAGCTGGTAGAGAGTCCAGCCACAGGCAAGAATGACAGTGAACCCAAGCTAGAAGTGTACAAAGAGAGCCACACTGGGCACGTCAGTTAAAACTGCTAGAGACAAGACCACAGCTTCTCCATAAAGTGACAGAAGCCAGAAGCCAGAGCAACTGAAGGAGAACCATTGGTTCCAGGGATTCCTTCTGACTTCCACAGGTACCCTCATACATGGCACACACACACACACACACACACACACACACACACATACACACAACTAAATAAAAATAAATCTTTTTTAAAATTTCATAATAAGAAAATATTATAAATTATTACTTTGTGCTGATAACTTTGAAAAAAAATCTTAGAAAATCAGAAAAAGTTTATGTTTATTTTAGTAGTCTGGAGTTTAAATTATTTCTACAAAGGAAACACCAGACTCAGAATGCTTAACAATAAAATCCCAAAATCTTAAGGAAGGGAATAACATCATGAATAATGAATCATGAATAACATCATGTTAATCATGAACTCAAACAAAGACTAGAAAAAAAGGGTTAAACTTTTCAACTCATGAGGCATGGTAGTTTTATTATTTTTGGTAAGAACAAAAAAGACAAGACAATTAAAAGGCGAGTCTCTCATGAACCTCCATGTAAAATTCTTGAACAAAATTTTGTCAAACCTAATTGAACAGCATATGAAAAACATGTCAAAGGGGGTTTATTCCAAGAATGCAAGGTTTTAACTATTGAGAAGAATCAGGAACTTACCATAGTAACAAAGAAAGAAAACATGTATTCTCATCTTGGTGGGTAACAGCCAAGTGTATTTGGGAAATATCTTTGTGACACTGGCAATTGAACATGCTAGGCAAGTTCTCTACCACTGAGCTATGTCCCAAGCTCTTGTTTAGTTTTTTGAGAAAGGGTCTTGATAAGTTGCCCAGGCCCCAGATAAGTCTTGAATTTTTAATCCTTCTGTGTCAACCTTCTGAGTAGCTGGGGTTACCATGAGTCTTGGTTACTCTTCTTGATTTAAACAAAGCCCACATAGAATTAACTCCAAGATATATTCAACAAACAAAGCCAAATGGCACCCAATAAGTATAGTGATGTGTTAACATTTGTGGGTTGTTTTTTTTTTTTTTTGGTTTTTCGAGACAGGGTTTCTCTGTGTAGCTTTGCGCCTCTCCTGGAACTCACTTGGTAGCCCAGGCTGGCCTCGAACTCACAAAGATCCACCTGGCTCTGCCTCCCGAGTGCTGGGATTAAAGGCGTGCGCCACCACTGCCCGGCAACATTTGTGTTTTTATAGACATGGTGTTTTTGTTTACCGTAGTAGTAGTAGTAGTAGTAGTATGTGTGTGTGTGTGTGTGTGTGTGTGTGTGTGTGTGTGTGTGTGTGTGTGTGTGTGTGTGTGTGTGTGTGATGAAATCTGCACTTGTGGGGATGATACTAGGTATTTAACTCAAGTGTCAAATGGATTAGGATAACCACACTCTGGGGTTTTCCAGTGTTCAGCGAAGTATTGCTAACTATAAACGAGTTGTTGGTTTGCAGATCACCAGAACTTTTTCCAGAAGTAGGACAGATTCTGCTATCCAACAGCATTTGCTGGACAAACATTTAGGCAGATTCCACCTCTTGACTGTTGTGAATAATGTTGCAATCAGCATGAGTATACAGATACCTCTTGAAGATCCTGATTTCAATTCTTCTGGTTAAAAACCTAGTAGAGTCCTATGATAGACCTATTTTGAAGTTTTATTCTATTTTTGAGACAGTGTCTTGCTATGCAGCTCTGGCTGAACTTGAATTCAAAATAAAGTCTAGGCTGGCCACAAACCCATAAAGATTTGCCTGCTTCTTCCTCCCAAGTGCTGGACTTAGAGGTGTGCGCCACCACATATGACTTTATTTTGAATTTTTTGAGGAACCTTCACTCTGTTTTCTCTAGCATTATTATATTCCCACCAATAGTGCACACAGATTCTAATTTTTTCTATTTTTTTCTAATTTCTAATTTTTTCATATTGTCACCAAATACTTGCTACTTTTTTTTCTTTTGTTTTTAGATAATAGTCTTAAAAGTTAGAATGTAATGGTGTCTCCTGGTTTTGATTGTGTTTTCCTGATTGGTGATATGGATCATCTTTGCATATACTCTTTGATCATTGAAATCCAAAAGGGGTGTGTGTGTGTGTGTGTGTGTGTGTGTGTGTGTAGTATGTGCAGGTGTGGTCTATGTTTGTCTGTAGGTGTGCATATTTGTGCGTGTATGTGTGAAGAATTGAGGTCAACATCAAGTGTCTTCCTCATAGTTTCCCCTCTTATTTTTGACACAGGGTCTTCCAGTGAACATGGAGCTGACCGATTTGCTAAATTAGCTGGCCAACAAATTCCCCCTTTTCTGCACCCTTCCCCATCATTTCAGGATTCTTCTGCCTCTTGCTTTCCAGTGCTGAGATCATAGGCATGCTGTTCCACCTCACTTAAAACATTATGTTTACAGATATCTTTGAGAATGTACGGAATATTCCAGAAAGGATATTTATAAAGCAGATTAGTAACAATTGCCACTGGGAAAAAGAAATAGGTGGTGGAAGTGAACTGGGGATTATCCTTTCATTAATGTTCTCTTTAAGCCAATTGGACTTAATACCGTTTGAAAAGATAAGTTATTTTAAAAGCTCCCTAGGTTGTTATGATGTGTTTAAGAATTGTGTACAGGTACAGCAGTGTGCACTTGTGCTCTGCTGTGCTCACACTGCAAGCTCATCATGCTGAGGTGCCCTTTGGTTTTGACAGAGACATTCGACTTACAGCACCATGCGGCCAGCCAGCAAAGGGATGGTTCAGCGCTTGGATCTGCCGGACCTTCCCCTCTCAGGTAGATGACTGAAAACACAAATACTTTGTCCTATTTTAGTGGTGTTCATTTTGTGTTGCATGAACTTGAATTTGGTGGTATTTATTTCTGCTGATTTTATCCCCTCAGGGTGCACATTTTGCCCATTAGATGCAAATGTGCAGCCCACACTAGAAGACATGCCTCCTGCTTGCTGCCCTCCTCAGTGTGTGTGGATGCAAAAGAGATGCCAACTTGGCTGGATTTGATTTTATGTTTGTTTGTTTGGTTTTGGTTTTTTCGAGATAGGGTTTCTCTGTGTAGCCCTGGCCGTCCTGGAACTCACTCTGTAGACCAGGCTGGCCTCGAACTCAGAGATCCATCTGCCTCTGCCTCAGGGTGCTGGAAGTAAAGGCGTGCACCACCACTACCTGGCCTTTTCTGTTCCTTTCCTTTTCTTTTTCTTTCTTTCTTTCTTTCTTTCTTTCTTTCTTTCTTTCTTTCTTTCTTTCTTTCTTTCTTTTCTTCTTCTCCTCCTCCTCCTCCTCCTCCTCCTCCTTCTTCTTCTTTTTAATAAACTGAATCTCAAGACAGTATATTCTATTCTTTTTTTAAAATTACTGTTATACAAAACCCTTGTCTGGTTTTGTGTTTGTTCACTGATTCCACAGTCCTTCAATGCACCATTTTTAGGCCTTTGAGTATTACCCTCTTCCTCTTGTTGCACAGTGTCCCTTTCAAGTTCAAATCGTGACAGTGAAGTGGAGGTTGTAATTAGTGGGTCTCATAGGTCACATTCCCATTCCTGCTGGGCCACCAGTGCTGATGATGCAGAGCTGTACCTTTAAAAGGGAGGTAAGCGAAGCCCTGCTTGGCCTCGAGTCTCTCGGCCCTGCCATTCCATCCCAGCTTTAGCTTTATTGTGCTTTGGTTTCTTCATCTCTAAGATAGAAACATTTCTGGGGCTGGAGAGATGGCTCAGCAGTTAAGAGCACTTGCTGCTCTTTCAGAGGGCCTGAACTTGCTTCCCAGCATCCACATCAGGTAGCTTACTACCACCTGTAACTCCAGGGGATCTGACACCCTCTTCTGGCCTCTGCGGGCACCTGCACTCATGTGCACAAACTCACACTCACACATATACACATAACTTAATTTTAAAAAGTCAAAAAGAAAAAGAAACAACTTTACTTCATAGAGTCGTTTGAAGGATTGAATTAATTCATTTAACACACCGAGGACACTGCCTGGTGTGCCTTGGGCATCATAGAAATACTTGCTGCTAATCATTTTCCTTGCTAGTGTCTGCTGAGCCTGTTAGCATGCTCAGAGAAAAGAGCAACAGTGCTTTTGGTCTAGTAAATGTTAATGAGTTTTCTGCAAGCTTGGTTCCAGTCCCTGCACCAGGCTAATATCACAGTGAAGGAAGACACAAAAAGTTATGCTTACTCTGTGTTGTAATTTAAGTATGCAACAGCATTACATCTAAAAATACTCATAGCTTGCATAGTAGTTACATTATCACAGATAATCATCTCAGCCTTCAGCAACTTAGCACCTTTTTCCCTGCAGAGGGTCTTGCCTTGATGTTGATGTCTGCTGACTTTGGTCAGGTGGTGCTTGCTGAAACTGGGGTAATGGTGGCAATTCTTAAAATAAGATACCAGTGACGTTTACCAAGTCATTTTCTCACCTTGCCTTTCCCAAGGGCTTTCTCCCACATAGCACTTCCTTTAAAATCAGACTCACTTCTCTCAAAACATGGCTTTCCCCCTGAGTTCATGTCATATTCTGAATCCTTTGCTATCATTTCAATGTTCATACCACCTTCACCAGGTAGGGATTCTGTCTCAAGGAATTACTTTCTTTGCTCCTCCATAAGAAACAACTCACTACCCACTAATGTTTCCTCCTGAGATGGTGGTGGTTCAGTCGCCCCCTCCATTGCCAGTCTAGTGCCTTTGCTATTTCCACACCTGCAGTGATCCCCACCACTGACATCTGGAACCTCTCAAAGTCATCACTGAGGGCTGGGATCAACTGCTTCCAAACTCCCATTGATACTGACATTTTTACTTCTTCCCATGAATTACCCTGCTCCTAGTGGCATCTGGAGTCTTGAATCTTTTCAGAAAGCTTTCTATTTATTTTGCTCAGATTTGTGGGAGGAATCATTATTTGTGGCAGCTATAGCTTGTGAAATGTTTGTTTAATAAACATTTAATGAGAATTACTCCTTGACCCTTAGACTGTGCAATGGCTTCTGAGTCAGGAGGTTAAAAAAAAAGTTAGTTAATAAAAGAACATTAATTTTGTACATCTCCATCACTATTCTTGAGTGATCAACCAGGTGCAATCTCAGTGAGCAGTGAGGGTGGTGGTGTTGATTTTGTTTATTATTACTATACGTGTGGGTAATGTATATGTAAATATGCATGTACCACAGCACATATGTGGAGGTTAGAAAACACCTTCTCAGAGTTGGTTTTCTTCTGCTACTTTTACATGGTTTCACGGGAGTGAACTCAGGTCATCAGCACCTTTACTCACTGATATATCTGCTGTAGAATATTACTTTTAACTATGTGAAGACGTGTTGCTTTTATTTATGCTGCATTTGTTTAATTATGTAAAGATATGTTACTGTTTCACCTTGCCTGCCTAAGGCACCTGATTGGTCTAATAAAAACCTAAACAGCCAATAGTTAAGCAGTAGAGGGATAGGTAGGGCTGGCGGGCAGAAAGAATAGAGAAGGGTGAAGAGAACGAGGGGGAAAAGAGGGAGATGCCTGGAGCCAGGCAGCCACCAGCTAGCAGACACAGAAGATGCAGGAAAAGTAGAACATACAGAATGACAGGTTAAAAAGCCCTGAGGCAAAGCATAGATGAAAAGAAACAGGTTAATTTAAGTTATAAGAGCTAGTGGGACAAGCATAAGATAAGACTGAGCACTCATAACTAATAAGAAGTCTCCATGTCATGATTTGGGAGCTGGTTGGTGGCCCAAAAGAAAGTCTGCTTCATATATCCTGTAGGCCCAGGACAGAGTGTTGTTGTTATTTTATGTGTATGTATTGTGTATGTGTGCACCACATGTGCAGTGTCCTGAGAGGCCAGAAGAGGGGTCAGATCCCAGGGAACTGGTACAGACAGTTGTGAGCTGCTGTGTGAATGCTGGTAACTGAACTCGGGTTTTCCATAAGAACAGCTAGTATTCTTAACCTGAGCTATCTCTTCAGCCCCACAGAGAAGTTTTGAAAAGAATGTTTGTGTGTTGAGAGTCATAGCAATGGACTTTAAAATTTTCATACATAGTGTTGTAAAGAGATGCATTGCCCTCTAGTCTTTACTGTTTTATTTACAGAGTATAGGCAGAATTGGGCTAATACCATTTTTAAGCATCCTAGGGCTTGGTAAATGAATATTGCATGCAACTTCAAGGCATTCAAGTCTGAGCACCTCTTTCCCAGAAATGGAGGGTGGAGGCCAAAACATAAGATTGAAAACCTGTCTGGCTTAAATCTATGCATCATTGTGTAATATCCTAGCACACACTCATTATACAGTATAAAATAGGGAGTAACTTACTTGCATGAATAGTGCTAGGTGAATTTTTTTAACTGCAGTAAAAGCTATACAACATAAAACTTAGTACTCTATGAGTGATTGTAGCTTTTATGTCTTTTTCAGGCTATTCTACCAACTTCCAAGTTTCCTAATTATCTAAAGAACCATTCTTTTGATTGACAAGATAAATAATAAAGTGGAGACCACAATTATCACTGTGGAGCTCATTGGCTGACCTTCTCCTTCTTACCCTCCAGGCACCTGTCTCCTGGTGATGATTCTATTTACTGTAATAAAGGACTGCATAGTGAAAATTGTTTGCTTCCAGCCATTTCCAGCAACTGCTTGTCAACATTGAGGTCATCCCTAACTGCAGATTAATGTTCTGTTTTTGTTTTGTTCTTCCGTGATGTAGAACTGTTTTTCTCTGCTGTTTAGACCTAATTGGCCTCACCCCCAACTTGATGCCCATAATTGGTGGCTATTAGCTGAAGAGGTTACTGTTTTCTTCTGTGACTGTAGGTGACAGGAGGTGGCCCCAGCTGTCCTGTGATGTTCGGCTAACTACCGAAGTCTCACAGCTCCAGCTCCTCTGCTCTGCTTTTGTGATCCTTTGAGAGATATCTGGAGACTTCAGCTCATTTTTGTGCCTGTTTTCACTAACTCTAATAGGACAGCAGAAAGGCGCCTTAAAAAGAGGGGGTTGTGCTCGGTTTTTAGTGAACGATAAGCCTGTGATTGGAGCTACTTGTTCTCCTGTGGGCTGTCGTTCTTGGTTCCCAGCTTTTTGTCTGCCGCTGTCTGTGACCTGACAGTCGCATGAGACATTTTCCTACCAGCTTTTCCTCCGATGCCCACAGCATAATGCAAACAGCACTAGCTGGAGACAGAGCGAGAGGAGTGGCCGTCCTAACTGGGTAGTTGCACAAGGCTCTTAGAAGGCCCACACTTAATGCTTGGATCACTGTCCGAAAATTTAGATCATTTTTGAACAAAGGACTGCTTTGGCACTAGGCTTCCTCCCTCCCTCCCTCCCTCCCTTCCTTTCTTCCCTCTCTCCCTCATTTATTTATTTATTTGTTTGTTTGTTTCTCTCTCTTGTGTGTGGGTGTTTTGCCTGCATGTATGTTTATGCACCACTTATGTGCCTGTGGAAGCCAAAAGAGGGTGTTGGACCCCCCATAACTGGAGTTACAGACAGTTGTGAGCTACCATGCGGGTGCTAGGAACTGAACCCAGCCAGTGCTTTTATTTTTTTTTTTATTTATTTATTTTTATTTATTTTTTTTTTGGTTTTTCGAGATAGGGTTTCTCTGTGTAGCTTTGCACCTTTCCTGGAACTCACTTGGTAGTCCAGGCTGGCCTCGAACTCACAGAGATCCACCTGGCTCTGCCTCCCGAGTGCTGGGATTAAAGGCGTGCGCCACCACCGCCCGGCCAGCCAGTGCTTTTAACCACTGGGTCATTTCTCCAGCCCCAGTAGATCCTTTTTTAAAGATATATTTTATATTTGTCTTGTGTGTGTGAATGTGAGTGTGGATTTGTGCATCTGTGAACAGAAGAGGAGGCCAAAAGAGGATATTGAGTGTTCTGTCATTCACTACGTAATCCTTTTGAAGAAGGATCTCTCCCTCAAGCTGCGGTTCTCATTTTCTTGGCTAAGCTGTGTGCCAATAAGCACCAGCATTTCTCTTTGTCTTCATTCTTATCAGAGCTGGAGTTACAGATGTGCGCAGGACACCAACTTGCTAGGGTCTGAACTCAGGTCCTTGTGATTGTGCAGTAAGCAGTCTGAACAACTGAGCCATCCACCCTGGTCCGAGGTTTTATAGGTTATATAGGTAGGCCTGCCTGGAGAATTCTTTCTAGAAAATACCGTGTCCCTGTTTACATTTTTATTATTCCAGAAAGAAAAAAAAAATGTGTGTATATGTATATTTAGGAACATATGCATATACCTATGTAGATATATGTCTTTGTACTTGAGAATAAAGTATGATAACCAATCAGATTTCTCCCCTCTAGAAATGGGTGACAATGTTGTTATTCACACAGATCTTCTGAAGGGAAGGGCCGAGGACCGGAAGTCAGACCCTTACCTCCGAAAGAGTCCCTCACTGGAGTCCCTGAGCAGACCCCCTTCCCTGGGCTTTGGGAACACCAGACTGCTGAGTGCGTCCACCGGGGGTCTGAAACCAAGCAAGCTCAGGTACTGAATTTTAAAGTCTGAGAAATGAGATGAACATCCTCTTCCTTCTGTCTCATCCAGTCAGCTTCCTTCTGAGTGACAGCGATTAAGATATAGAACGCACCTTCAACAGGTCTGATAAGAAGGTACTACAGAGTGGTTTGGGACAAAAATCAAATGAAGAGCTGTACCTTTTTTTTTTTTTTTTTTTGTTTTGTTTTTTTTTGTTTTTGTTTTTTTTTTTTGTTTTTTTGTTTTTTTTTTTTGTTTTTTTGTTTTTTTTTTTTTTTATTAATTTATTTTGCAATACAATTCAGTTCTACATATCAGCCACGGATTCCCTTGTTCTCCCCCCTCCCGTCCCCCTCACCTTCCCCCCAACCCCCCCCCATTCCCATCTCCTCCAGGGCAAAGCCTTCCCCACAGACTGAGGTCAACCTGGTAGACTCAGTCCAGGTAGGTCTAGTCCCCTATCCCAGGCCGAGCCAAACAATCCTGCATAGGCCCCAGGTTTCAAACAGCCAACTCATGCAATGAGCACAAGATCTGGTCCCACTGCCACACAACAGATTGCTGGCAGTGGTCGAGAGACAGCCCGAACTGACCTACTCTGGTGATGGGATGGCCAAACACCCTAATTGTTGTGCTAGAAACCTCATCCAACTACTGAGGGATCTGGATGCAGAGATCCATGACTAGGCCCCGGGTGGATCTCTGGGAGTCCAATTAGCGAGAATGAGGAGGGTTTATATGAGCGAGAATTGTTGAGACCAAGGTTGGATAAAGCACAGGGACAAATAGCCAAATGAATGGAAACACATGAACTATGAACCAAGGGCTGAGGGGTCCCCACTGGATCAGGCCCTCTGAATGGATGAGACAGTTGATTGGCTTGATCTGTTTGGGAGCTGTACCTTTTTAAGCAGGGGCCCTGAGATGGATCATTGAATAAAGGCTCTTGTTATGCAAGCCTGAGTTCAATCACCAGAACCCATGTGAAAGAGAGAACCAACTCCACAAAGTTGTCCTCTGACCAGCACACACATGCCATGGCACACATATCTCTCTCTCTCTTTCTCTCTCTCTCTCTCTCACACACACACACACCAGTAATGGTAGAGTTTTTTTAAAGTTAAAATTTTAGCAAAGAGGAGCTGGAGAGGTAGCCCAGTGATCAAGAACACTTGTTGCTCTTAGAGAGAACTCAGGTTCAGTTCCTAGCACCCACATCAGATGGCTCTAAGTTGCCTAAAACTTCATTTCCAGGGGATCTCCACCCTCTTCTGGCCTCCAGAAACACATGCACACATGTGGTGGACATGCATATGCTCAGGCACACACATATACCCATAAAATCAATCAATCAATCTTTAAAGTTTAAGCAAAAGTACTCGAGGAGTTGTTTGGATCAGGAAGTCTAGAGAGGAGGAGGATTCCTGTCAGTAGCTGTAAAGCTGCCAGGGTGAGTGAGCGATGGAACTCAACCCAGGGCCTCAAGCAGGCCCTGCCAAACACACACCAGGCCCCCAGCCAGTCCGGTAGACGGCTGGGGAGTTAGAGCCGTCAAGGCAGGCTGGAGCCCTGGTGCAAACAGTCTGCATTGCCAAAAAGAGCTTCATACTTATTTTGGTAAAGCAGTGGGGAACCACTAAGTCTGTGGGATTGTGTTTTTGTTTTCGAGTAGTGATTAAGAGCAGACCTGCTATTTAAGGAAGATTATTGAGAACACAGTGGCATAGAAGGAGGATTAGAGCCATTTTTTGAGATCAGCTTTTAAAGGGGCGTTAGCAGAGATGTATAATATGCAGCAGAGGAGGAAATGAACAGTGGGCCTAGATGGTTGCCAAAAGCCTGTCTTTGCCCCCACACGTCTGCCACCTCCCCCTGCCAGTGCCCCTGCCTACCAAGGTCCTGGTGAACTTATTTCATCTGTTTCTCTTCTGCCTGGAGTCTTCCCTGCTTTTCCATGTTGTTAGTCTAATGAACGAAGCACCTAGTGTCCTGCTGTGGACCTCTCAGAAGCCCTTGTAGCAGTCATCACTCTGCATTCTGCTCTTCTGGGTCTGTATAGTTTAGCTCCATCCCACTCACCTGTGATGATAGCTTCATCCTGGATAAATGGAAGACTAGAGAATTTACCATTAAAAGCAGTAAGAATGAGGTGGCTCAGTAGGTAAGAGCATCTCCTGTGAAAGCAGAGGACCTAAGTTCAAATCCTACTTGGGTGTCTTCCACTCATTTGCGTGTGTAACTCCAGCACTTCTTTTGTAGTATGAATAACTTGCTGTCATTTCATGGATAGTAAATATTTCATCCTACATTTGGGCGTCTTTCCCAGTGCATTGCCTTGTGCTCCACCTAACAGTTTACCCCCAGATGAGTCTAAGAAACCGTCTAGTTCAGGGATAAGAGCTTTATAGTAGGTAGTATAAGCATCCATGAATGTCGTAGGGGAGGGCTTTGAGTCTGAATACATTCAGATCGAATGTATCTTTGGATGTGACTGATATTTGATCCCAAATAGGTAAATTCAGATATTTTAAGAGGTTTATAAAAGTCTCAGATATAGATCATCTGCTTGTCTGCATATTAACTAATAGAAACAGGTTTGAAGGACCACAATTAGTGCTACTCTCAAATCAGTGCTATAAACACACAGGAAATTTATGTATATTAATATGCTATTTATAGTATACCTTTCTTCATAAAAGGTCAGATTTAGTGACCTTAATTTCTTTTCTTTTCTTTTCTTTTTTTTTTTTTTGAGACGGGGTTTCTCTGTGTAGTTTTGATGACTGTTCTGGATCTCACTCTGTAGACCAGGCTGGCCTCAAACTCACAGAGATCCACCTGCCTCTGCCTCCTGAGTGCTGGAATTAAAGGCGTGCACCACCACCGCCCGGCAATTTCTTATTTCTTTAACATTAGTGTTAATTAAGATTAACCTATGACAGAATAGAATTTTTTAGATTTTTAAAATTGCATTCATTTTTATTTGTGTGTGCATGTGCCACAATGTGCATGTGGAAGTCTAAGGACAACTTCTACCTAATACAGCTTGTAGCATAAGTCTCAACAAGATTTGAATTCAGGTCACTGGACTTGGCAGCAAGTGCTTTTACCTGCTGGATTGTCTTGCCAGCCCTGGAATTCCTTGCATTGGAAACTCAGTCTTTTTTAGCTATGCATAGTCATGCACACCTACAATTCCAACGCTTAAGAAACTGAGGCAGTCCAGGCGGTGGTGGTGCATGCCTTTAATCCCAGCACTCGGGAGGCAGAGGCAGGAGGATCTCTGTGTTTGAGGCCAGCCTGGTCTACAGAGTGAGTTCCAGGACAAACAGGGCTACACAGAGAAACCTTGTCTCAAATAAAATAAATAAAATAAATAAAATAAAATAAAATAAAATAATAAAATAAAATAAAAAGCTAAGGCAGGAAGATGAGTTCAAGGCCAGCCTGGGATACATAATGAGTCCCTGTCTCAAAATAAATTTTCAGTCTCTATTATTAAATTTCTTGTGAGGGCAATCATTTAATTGTGTAACATTGGGTGGTGTTCTCTTGCTCTCCACTTTATTTATTTATTTATTTATTTTCGTTTTTCAAGACAGGGTTTCTCTGTGTAGCTTTGCGCCTTTCCTGGAACTCACTTGGTAGCCCAGGCTGGCCTCAAACTCACAAAGATCTGCCTGGCTCTGCCTCCCGAGTGCTGGGATTAAAGGCGTGCGCCACCACCGCCCGGCTCGCCACTCTATTTTTGAGACAGACTCTCTTACTGAATTGAAGCTTGCCGTTCTGGCTAAGCTGGCTAGTAAGCTCTAGGAGCCATCTGTCTCCATTTCCCACCCCTGGGGCCACAGGCATGATTGACCATGACTGCCTTTTATTTTGGTTTTGGGGTTTTGAACTTGGGTCCTCTGTTTTCACAGCAGATGCACTTACCTACTGAGTCATCTTCCTAGTCCCAGAGATCTGCCTGCCTTGGCCTCCCAAGTGCTGGGACTAAAAGTGTGCGCCACCACCACCTGGCTGACATAATGTATTTCTAATGTGACTCATTTGGCTGTTTCTTTAGAGTACTATTTGAATAAACCTACACTTTGGCTTTTTCTAATCTAGTTTTTTTTTTTAATGTATATATATTTGAGGGTTTTAAAAGCCAGCACCTTAACCAGGCAGTTGGTGGTGCACACCTTTAATCCCAGCACTCAGGAGGCAGAGCCAGCCTATCTCTGTGAGTTCTAGGCCAGCCTGGTCTACAGAGCAAAAAAGCCAGCATCTTGCCAGATGTGGTAGTACGTACTTGTAATCCCAGCACTTGGGATGTAGAGGTAGGAAGATCAGGAGTTCAGAGTCATCCTTGCCTATAGTGAGTTCAAGGCCACCCTGGGCCATATGAGACCTTGTCTCAAAAGAAAAACGAAACAACCGTTCTACCAGCATCCTCCTTAACTGTGTGTTCTTCTTTGTAATCAGTGTTGAAAGAAGAGACCCTCTGGCAGCCCTGGCCCGGGAGTATGGCGGCTCTAAGCGTAATGCACTCCTGAAATGGTGTCAGAAGAAGACAGAAGGTTATGCGGTAAGGCTCGGTGCTGCCAACTGGGCATTTATGGTCCTATGCCGGGACATGTTCCATGTGGGCATGTGCTTGGTTTGCATGGAGTATCGTCTCTGTTCTCTCAGCCGTGACTTCCAGGGAGGGTATGATATTTGTGTACTGTACTATGCAAAGGCCTCCCGATGAGGAGAAGGGGGTTGGGATACAGAAGGCCAGTCTGTAGCCCACCCCCCAGACTGTCTGTGAGTACTCACATCTGCTGGAGGAAGGGAACCTTCTCCCTGAGGCCGCCCTGGACAGAGCTGCTGCTAAAGCATCTCCTCAAAGAGGGCAGCTCCTCTCATGTGCATAAAGCCTTCCAAAGGTTTTTCCGATTTTTTCTGTTTTTGTACCTTTAAGAGTTTTCATTTAGTTTAGTTTTGTTTGTCTAGGGTGGTGTTTACTTTCTGAGAAGAGCAGACAAGGAAGTGATACCTGATACAGGTTTAAACTTTTTATTATGAAATAACATACACAAAGATAAAAGTACATGAATTCGAGTCTCATTAATCATGAAATGGAAACCCAGTCAGACACCCCATCCTGAAGTAGCATCTCCAGTTCCCACAAACCTGTCCTGACTCTCCAGCCAGAGCCCCTTGCTGCTCCCCGACGTACCTGTCGGCCTCACTTCTTCTCCTTGCAGTTTTCTGTAGAAGTGTGAGTGCTGGAATAGTGATGCCTTTTCTCAGCGTTTAGAGAAAAGGAACAAAAAGCTGTATAAGATCTGCGTCTGGCTTTTCATACAGTATTGCTAGTAAGATTTGTCCTTTATTGCTACAATTGATTTTCCTTACTACTTAGTAAGACATTGTGTGATTTTTGTCTTTACTTACCTACTCTGTTGATATTCTTACCTCTGCTGGATGTGCTCTTAGGACTGGAGTGCTTAGGCCTTAACTGCACGCACATATTCAAATAGAGTAGATGATGCCAAGCAGATTGCTAGGTAACTATGCATTGTCCAGCCCACCAGCAGTTTAGGGGAGATCTGTTCCTGTGTGTTCTCAGCAGCATTCTGCCTTCCTCACTCACGGTCTTTGGGTAAAGGGGTCGGGGTATCTTGATATGGTTTTGATTTTTGTTAGCCTGTTGGCTGATGAGATTGAGCATATGTTAACTGGCCATTTGGACAGCCTCTCTGAGGGGATGTACCTAATCAGGCCTTTCATCCCTGTCTATTTACTTTGTATTTTTGGTCCTCGAGATGGAGCATGGAGCCTCCTACAAAGCACACACTCTGCCACTGAGCTGCTTGCCAAGCTCCTGCTGCCCAGTTTTCAAATAGTTTTCTCTGTTTTTTTTTTTTCTTTATTGTTCTTAAAAATTCTTTATATGGGCTAGAGAGATGGCTTCGGGGTTAAGAGCACGCATTGCTCTTCTAGAGCACTGGAGTTCAGTTCCTAGCACCCACATGGTGGCTCACAACCCTCTTTTCCAGGGTTGACACCTTCTGATGCTCATACAAGCGTGCAGCGAAACAGTCATCTATAGATAAAGTAAAACGTAAGCTCTAGTTTTTAAAAGGTCTTTCTATATCCTGTATATAAGTTCTTTGTTAAATAGATGTATCACAGATTCTTTAATGGTACTTGATATTTCACTCTTGAGAAGCAAAACTCTCAGAATTTTTTTGTGTTTATTTTTTTCAGTTTGTGAATGTTTGTGTGCATGTATGTGGGTGGACACATGCCTGCCACCACAGTGCACCATGGAGATCAGAGGACAACTTTGTAGAGTGGTTCTCTCCAGTTTTATGTGAGCTTCAGGAATCAAAACAAGTGCTTTTTCCTGCCAAGCCATCTCTGGCCAGCCCAGAGCTCTTAATTTCTACTAATCTTTTCTAGTGGTTAAGTGCTTTTGTGTTCTGTCTAGGAATCATTTTTCTGAGGGCGCACGCCTTTAATCTCAATACTCTGGAGGCAGAGGCAGGCTGATCTCTGAGTTCCAGTCCAGCCAGGAATACATAGTGAAGCTTTATTTTTCTGTAGTTAACACTAAGGGGATACTCCTTTTAAATTATTTTCCTTGGCTTCATTTCTCCTTTTTGCTAAAACTTTGGAAGATTCTGACCTTATAGCACACCTTCCTAAGGTCAAGCTTTTGAAAGCAGCCAGGACTGAGAAAAGAAGCTAGAAGAAACCGTGGCTTGGCTAAGACTCAGCTCAGGTAGCTGAGAAGCAGAGCTGAGATTCTCTCTGTCCTATTAACTATATAATAGTTTAAAATCAGAGTCTACCCAAGAATCATATTGTCTTCATATTGGTATTTTTTAAAATTCTCCTTTTATGTCACAAAGTTTAAAATATGGTCATATCCATGACCAGTGACTAAGGCTCCCAGAGGACACACTTACTTCTAGCACATTCTTATTCTTTTAGCATTTCTGTTTACCCCATTTAAGCCCGTTCTAAGGGATGGACTGTCCCACAAACGGGAACCACTCCAGTGACAGCATCTCTCCACGTGTCAGCCATGCTGCCGAGGAAATGGAAAAGCAAAAGCAGCCAGGGTGCTGATGGTTTGTGTGAGGCAGCAGGCAGGGGAGCTGTGTGTTAACGTCAAGAAAATACGGTCATGGAAAATGGAAGAAAACAATCAAAAAGAGTCATCAGCCTTGACTGCAGCTGAGCCCAGCGCGGTCATCTCTGGCTGGGTGCTGTCATTTCCCTACTACAGAAGTAATGGGGTAATCCAGAGAAGAGCCAAGAGGAGATAAAAGGCAATTTCAAGTTTCAGAATAAATTGGCCCTTTGTGGTGTGCTGTGATAAGTAGATGGAGGGAAGGAGATCGACGGTATTATTTCCAGTCAGTTGAGAGAAGAGTACTTCCTGCTGTAGAAAACTTTTTGTTGTTTTGTGAATATCTTGGATTAAGTTTTCAAAATATTTTTATGTTTGATGAAATCCACAACTTATTGTGTGTGAAGAATACTTTTCACTCATGGTTAAATGTCCATAGGTTTAGAAAGAAGTATAAATCGCACATGTGTCTCTCTTACACCTTTGACAAACTATTCTCTGGCTAGACCAGTTTGTACAGATTGTACTCTGGAATGTTCCGTACTTACTCTCTCAGAATTAAGAGGCCAGAACCAATTGTTGAAAGTTCAGCTGGTTCATAATCTCTTTGAAGACCAGTAGCCATATGAGTTTTCACTTCAAATAACTTTCTACCTTGATGTCTTTCTACCTGGCCAGGTGTTGCTTTGAAATGGGCGGTGTGGAAGGGAGGCCTTTAAACACCAGTTCTCTGGCTCAGGATCCCTGCCTGACAGCCGTTAACATTAAGCCTTGGAGTACTGAGGTCTCGTTGGCACCCACAACATGCCTCGTGGGGTGCTCTGTATTTGTGAGGTTGGTGGTTACAGGAGCTGCAGCCAACTGGGCTGAGGAGTGAGTCTTCTTTTTCTTCTGCCTTCCTTCACCAAGAACCTTGACCTGGATTGCATGGAATTCACTCCAAATCTCTGCAGAGCCCTCTGTTACCTCCTAAGCAGCACAAGGCATAGTTGTCTCACAGGGCACCTTGGCTGTGTTCCTTGGGCCTTGCCATGTCCTGGACTCTGGTGGACACTGGTGATTCAGTCCAGGTCAAGGCAAAATTAACAAGTTGTGAAGTCTGCTAAGGCTAGTTGAATTTGGAAGCTGATTTCTTCCAGAGCCTCTAGGTAAGAGCCCTGCTCCCAACATCTGGAAACAGAGAAAGCTGCTGAGCAAATGCTGTTCAAGCTGTTCCGTCCGTAGTCAGGTCACACACGAACCTCACAGCTCCTTCTGTAGATTCAGATGTTTGCTTCTAAATGATGGGCAGTCTTGTCTTCTAGCCATTCCTCTCATTCATGTATATGCTGCTTCTTTTTCAGCTTGCAGGCTCTTAGCATCTTGAGGGACATAAACTGTCAAGAGGGGTTACCCTTTCAGGCTGCTGCAACAAAATACAAATACCACAGATGAGATGGTTTACAGACAATAGGAAGTTACTTTTCACCGTTACGGGTTAAGAAATCAAAGATCGGGTTGGGGATTTAGCTCAGTGGTAGAGTGCTTACCTAGCAAGTGCAAGGCCCTGAGTTCGATCCTCAGCTTAAAAAAAAGAAAAAAGAAAAAGAAAGAAAGAAAAAAGAAATCAAAGATCAAGGAAGATCTGTGATGAGGAAAGCCTATTCCGATTTCATAGGTGATACCTTTGGTGGTGTCATTGCATGGTGGAAGGAGTGAGACAATTCTCAGGTCCCTTTTGTAAGGACACTAATCCCATCGGGGACCCAACCATCTCCAAAGGCCCACCTACTAAAATCATCACTGTGGAGATCTGCAGAGTGGGATAATTTGAGATGTCTTATGAAAGATGAGAAAACTCCATCACCAAGATCGTTTCCTCCCAGAGCCTTCTACCACAGTCACTGTGGTTCACATTTTAGCTTCCTATTTCACCAAGGCCCAGTCAAAGTTTACAGCTTATTTCTCTGGTACTGGGACCAGAGAGGAGTAAGACTGAAAAACTGTGAGAGGAGCAGTAGTTAAAAACTGGATGCTGTGTCCTAGATGTTATGTGGTGTCATGTGCAGAACCCTGTGTTCAGTCCCCAGCACCACTTTGGTAGGAGGGGATCTGAATACTGCAGTCAGCATAGACTAGTGTTGCATCAGCCTGAGGCCAGTGGCGTCAGTAGCACTTCTGATAGTTTTGATTCATGGCGATTCTGGGGGAGGTAGAGTATTATAGGGATACTTCCAACCTGATCTGGGAGACAACTGAGTATTGAACATGAAGTAAAGAAACTAGTTTTAGGTTCCATGTAGCAGATCACCAAAATAATTAGTCATACTATTGATGGAAAAAACAAATAAGGGGTTGGGGATTTAGCTCAGTGGTAGAGTGCTTGCCTAGCAAGCACAAGGCCCTGGGTTCAGTCCTCAGCTCTGGAAAAACAAACAACAAACAAACAAACAAAAAATCCACAGCCAAATTTGAGTGAG